CTCTGGGCACCACGCCTAACTCCTTGCAGTGCTCCCACGACAACAAGGGTGTAGCGAGAGTAGGCTGCACGTCCATCCATCAGTGACACGACCTGTCGCCGTAGGTGATCTCCGCTTGAAAGGAGCCCACAGCGTCCGGCGTCTGGGAACCGTTCCGCATTGTAGTACAGCAGCTGCAGCGGTGGTCCCAGGTCGCGTTTGGTGAGGCCCAGTTTCTGGAGGTGCTTCAGGCCTATCACCGTAGTATCAGCGCCGGTGTCCGATATCACCTCGATGTGACCCGACACATCACCGTGTGTGATGGCGACGCGGATGGTAGGGGAAGGGGTAGCTCTGGGGCGTGTGGTCGATTCCACCCTCCTGATGTGACTCAGCTGCTGCTTGGGGCTGCGTGGGCCATCTGAAGGGGGCTGCGTGTAAACCACCCCGAGGGAAGTGCGCTGCTTTCCTCCTCGTCTCGGGCTTTTGGGCTTGGGTTGGCGGCAGCACTTGTCGTAGTGTCCATAGCGACCGCAGGCCTGACACTTGTGGCCTCATACAGGGCACCTGTCTGTGTTAGACCAGTGGCCCTTTCGGTCACATCCACGACACAGTGCATCGGCGGCCGGGCATGTCTTGGGGCCATGCTGCTTTCCACAGCTGCCACAGGAAGCACTAGGCGGAGGCGTGGAAGAACGTGCGGTAGCCTTCACGTTGTTGGCCGCCTTCTTACCCTTCTTGAACTGTGAGATAGCTCTCACAGCAGGTGGGGCCCATAAGGCAGAGGTGGCGGACTTGGTGGCCTCGTATGACCGACATTCAGTCACTACCACCTGGAGTGTGGAGGAAGCGTCCAGGGGGATGAGTCGCTGCACCAACTCTTCTTGCCTGAAACCTGTCAAGATCCCGTGCTTGATCCAGGCTTCCTCACATTCCCGGCTGTGCACCTTGCAGACGTCGATCTCCTCCGACAAACTCTTCAAACGTACAAAAAAGTCGTCAAAGGATTCATTCTCCGCCTGCTTGCAGCTGGTGAAGGCGCGGCGACGCAAAGCCTCGTTATTCCGACCCTTAACGTGCTCCTGCAAAAGGTCGAGCACATCCGTCACTGAAGACGTAGAATCGGGAGGCACTTGCAACGTGTGCTCCAAAACTTTCTGGGTCTCCAGTGACAAACACATCCGCAGTTGGATGAGCTGTTTGTTTGGAGGCATGCTATCAAGGTCCACCATCGTGGAGTAATCTGTCCACCGCCGCCTCCACTCACGAAAAAGCTGAAACGTGACGTCTGGTGAGAGGGCGGGTGGGGGTTGAACAGATGCCTTGGGAGCTGTGGGAGTAGCAAGAGTGCCTGGAGGACGCTGGTGTGGTGGAGGAGGGAGGGTACTGGCGCCTTGGTGCACGAAACCTGCGAGTGAGGGAGGGTGGGTTAGCGCCAGGGTCGCCAATAGTGCATCAAAACGCGCCTTTTCCCCCTCTCTTCGTATCTCCTCCCTCTGAAGTTCCATTTCTCTGCGTCTCTCGTCCCTGTCGTCCATCCACCTCAGAATTGTGGCAATGTCCGTCGCTGGAGGTGGAGGATGAGAGTCTGCGCCCGGTGGAGGGGATGGTGGTGGGGAGTCGTGTCTCCCATCTTGACGTTGTCCCTTCTTACCGCTCATCTTAGTATGCTTGAACTGCGTAGTAGGTAGTAGGTAGTAGGCAGCTTCCGAATAGGGAGGTACTACCGCCTGGGAAGATATTGGCAGTATAATGTGCTGTCTAATGGTAGACCCTGCTGCCATATGGCATCACGAAAATTGTGACCAAGTCCCAGGTTGCTGATCTGACTTTCTGCCTCTTTTACACACAATAGTAGGGTCTCAATTGTTTCTATTACATGACAAAACAACATACATATATAGCGTTCCTCACTGTTGATTTTTTTTTTCATTCTTGCATTTCTTTGTATTTATTATTATCACAGTGTTGTTATTATTATTATTACCATTAATATTTTATTTTACTTTTTATTATAAATTTTATTTACTATGAATTATTATTATTATTAAATTTTCGCCCCCCGTGCCCTGATGTGGGTCAGTGACCTGTGCCCGGGTGGGCTAATCCCCGTAAAAAAAAAATATATATATATAAAGTGGCGCCTCATCTGCTCGAACCACATATATATGGTATAAAAAGTGCAGAAATAACGCATAGAGTCCACTGTTCTGTCCATGAGTGCGTGCATGCGTGCGTGCGTGTGCGTGTGTGTGTGTGTGTGTGTGTGTGTGTGTGTTTGAGAGACCAGATCGTGGTGGCCTTGGTGGCTGAAGCCGCTGCGGAGGCGAGAACGTTAGTGTCTCCCCAGATGTCACACTAGAAGGGTGTACACCTGCGTGCTCCCTGGGTACCACAAAAAAGAGGCCAATGCTCAACTCTCAGCTCTAGACACACTAATACACTGACACTAACACTGCCACCATCACTAAAATGCACTGTGACGGCGCAACACTTCATGTCGCGGCGAAACACAACACAACACAACACAACACACTAGTCGACGCGCACATCGCCGGCAGTCGTAAGGGTCTCGGCATTGTTCACAACACTTGTAAGTCCGCAGATCCTACTCACTGCGCCATGAAGGTTCCAAGTGTTCCCTGAAGAAGGCAGTGATGGGTAGGGAAACACCGGGTAACACTGAAGTCCATTTATTAACGGATAGGAGAAATACAAGTGGTGACTAGCGTGTGACTTGCACGACCCACAGAGTCAGACCGAGACTGCCTTGCCATATGGCAGCCTCAGGGCAATGTTGCCACATATCATGTGCAGTGTTGCCACGTAATTATATACATAGATGCTACTCGGCACAGTAGCTTATAAACAAGGTTGCTACTCGGCACAGTAGCTTAGATACATAACCTACAGTTATAGTACATTCTTCTTTCCCCACACAGCCAAACTGCGGAATGCTCTGTCTTCTCCTAAGTTTCTATACTCATACAATCTGTTTCACTTCAAAGAGATGGTTTTCCGGCACTTTCGTGGTGTAGATTAATATAATCTTTTTCTTATCTGTTTTTAATTTCCTTTTACTCTTATGTTTTCGCCCCCTAGGCCCCGTTGGGGGTCGATGACCTGTGCCCAGGAAGACTTTTCCCTGAAAAAAAAAAAATGATAACTGCAATGGTAATTTCTATCTATCTACATGACAATTTTTTATATAATGGTTTTGGTGATACTTAGTCTATTGATATTTTTTTAGAGATGATTTAAAGGAAAAGAGCGGAGTCTTTTCTCGGATGGATGGAGATAAGTTGTTCCACACCTTCACACCATGATATTTTATGTAGGTTCTACGTGTCTTAAGTTGTACCTCTGATTATTCTGGAACTGGAAATAATTAATGTTAATCAAGTGATTGACAGATTTGTAAACAAATGGGGCACACCAGTAGCTGTTATTATCCTCAAATTTTAATATTTTTAATTTAGCTAATTGTCCGTTAGTGTGATCAGTTTTTCAAGTAGGTCATAGTCCACACAACTCATATCTGTGCAGTGATCAAGGGTTGTGTTTTTTTAGGGCCATGGGTCTCCCATATAGTAGAGCGGATAATGGAAAAATCGTGCAAATGGTGATACAAGCATGAAATTTGGCATGCTCATACCCTAGGGCAGGGGTGTCAAACTCATTTGCCAAGGCGGGCCAGATTTAATATGAGTACATAGTATGCTGGCCAAGTAACATAATTATGAGCACTTCGCAATCACCTCTGCGCTCGTGCGAAACCCTTAAAAACAAACAAACAAATCAAGTGCTTACTTACCTTGATCAATCTTATTGTTTGCTACTGCTGCTTCCTGATAATTGGCACCTCTTGGTATGGACCAGTGCATCAAAGTTTGGCACTAACGACTGAGCTGTAGCAACCTCCAGTATTGAATTAAGGTGCGCATCAGTAAGTTGAGACCGAAGCCGAGACTTGTTCAAGTTCATCCCAGAAGAGAGTTGTTCACAGACATATGTACACTTGCACCAAAAAGTATGGGTGCAGGGTAAGATCGACGACTTCCGAAACGATACGTATACACTGTGATATGTCGGGAAGGTTGGTAAGTGTATCCTCATAACCCCCCCCCCCTCCACTAGGTGTTGCCATATGGCTGACAATCAGTGTGTTTGTTTCCTCATTTCGGATTGTTGCTTTGTGTCGACTGAATGATGAGCAAGGGTTCGGTCTCGGTGAACGTGGGTATAAACAGAGGCAATATGAAGCAGTAGAGCTCTACACATGCCAGACGACATGAAACCTCAGAGGGAACACGAGGAGCTATTATTGCCCTTCATAACGAAGGGTTCGGCGTCACAGATATTAGCCGGCAGGTTGGTGTCCACAGGAACACCGCTGCACGATGGATTTGGCGATACTTCGAAACTGGTGCTACAGACGACAGGTCTCGGAGCGGCCGTCCACGCTGCACCACCCCTCAGGACGACCAGGCTGAGTGGTTTATTTGGTAGCATAAATTAATGTGGCAATATTCACAAGTGTTACAAATAATTTTGTTAACAGGGAGCTCCTCATATTTCATACTGTCTATTTATCACTTCCCAACCTTGTTTATAAGGGTTTGTTTCACTTGACCAGGGCTGCCAACATACGGCTGGAACAACTCGCCTTTCCCAATACCTATCGTCACTGGTCTCAAATTGTTCACACTACAGTATACACCGATACTTTTTGTTGCGACTGTACTTCCGAACATTGACATAATCTTTGAGGCAAATCATTTAATCCTGGGATAATTTGGTCCAAAATATTGATAAAATGTGCCAACATCAACACTCGAAAACTTGTTCCTCAACACAGAATCACACTGGAGCTCAATTAATTCTAACTGAAGATGTTCTGGTACCTCATTAACACCAACAGAGAATGGGTCCCGAAAAATGAAAAAATCCTTCTCAAGTCTTTTAAAGTCAGCAAATCTTTCTTGGAACTCATTCATTAATTTGGAATCTTGATGCAGTACTTTTTCGTGTTGATATCAGCATGAAACTCAGGTGTGCCTTGCAGGGACTTCAAGGTCGGAAAGTGAGAAAGATTACTCTCTGATAGTTGCCGTTCAAAAAGCTGAATTTTCATCTCAAAGGCACGAACGCAGTCATAAAAATCTGTCACCAATTTATTGCGTCCTTGCATCTTTGTATTCACGTAATTTAAGTGTTCTGTAATATCCATCATGAAAGTTAGATCTTGAACCCATTCATTATCTTTCAATTCATGCAAATCCCTTCCTTTCTGTTCCAAAAACATCTGTATTTCACTGCACAATTCATAAAATCGCTTCAGTACGACTCCCCGACTTAACCAGCGAACATCAGTGTGATATGGCAGTCCGTGTGTGTTCTCATTTTCCTCCAATAAGCAGTTGAACTGTCTGTGGTTCAGACCTCGCGCGCGTATGAAGTTCACTGTCTTTATAACAACATCCATGACATTATCCATCTTTAATGTTTTACTACACAACACTTCTTTATGTATAATACACTGCACATTATAAATTTGATGGTTCGGGTTCACAGCTATTAGTTTTCCTTTAATTTTGTTGCCACGCCAGCTTTTCTACCCACCATTTGCGGTGCTCCATCTGTAGTCAGACTCACAGTTTGGGCCCAGTCAATACCTAATTTATCCAGTGCCCCCACCAAACCCACAAAGATGTCATCACCTGTTGTTGTTCCTTTCATTGGTACCAGTTTCACAAATTCTTCTGTTACCTGCATATTTTCATCCACACCACGTAAAAAACTGCAAGTTGTGCTACATCACTTACATCGGTACTTTCATCAATTGCAACTGAAAATGCAGTAAAGGACTTAAATTTGTTTTTGAGTTGACTGTTAATATTCTCTGATAATTCACCAATTCTTTCTGCAACTGTATTTCTTGAGAAGCTTATGTTTGCAAATGCTTGACGTTTTTCCGGGCAAATATCTTCTGAAGCCATCAACATACATTTCTTTATAAAGTTCCCCTCAGAAAACGGCTTCGATGACAAAGCTATTTCATGGGCAATCCTGTAACTTGCCTTAACTGCAGCATCACTGACTTGATGAACACTCTTAAATACTGACCGCTGCTTTTTCAATGACTGCTCCAACTCCTTAACTTTGTCTTCACGTAACTTTCCACTATATTTATGGTTCTTCATAGCATGGTTAGTTTCATAATGCCTTCGAACGTTGTATTCTTTGGCCACAGCAACTTGTTGATTACAAATCAAACATGTTGGTTTTCCTTTCATTTCAACAAAAAAGTATAAGATTTTCCACTTATCCTGTACCACCCGACGCTCTTCATTAACTGTTCTTTTCTTTGAAAACATAATTATGGGCTCAAAAGTAAAAACAATGAGCACTGCTGCCTTGGATATTTGCAACGTTCCAATTGCCTCGAGCGACTATGCAGGACTAGTACTTGAATGACTGGGCAAGCGAGAGCCTGCCGCATCAGAGTTTTCATGTCTAATACCTATACTGTACGGAGTGTATACGTGAACAGTAGGGAGTGACAGTTTTGCAAAAGTTTTCAAAATCTAATTGCTTGGGTTTGGCATGAAAAACGCGAAAAAACTGTAAATAATAAAGGGACTGGCAATGTGGCACAACCTGTTAAAATCAAGTTATTGAATTGGATTATTCGACTACTGTGTACACTGGTTCATAATATGCTATTGTTTTACAACTCAATGCGCTACAAATTATGCCGATATTTTTGCTGCAAGTCACCACATACGTATATTTCGAAAACCAGGGCCCAATATTACCAACGGCGTGGATAGATTCCGTGGAATGAATTCAGGACATTCCCGCTCATGGAACATTACCAAACTCCGTATATGTGCCAATGGCAGGCCAATGGCAATATTTACAGAGTTTGTTGAGGCTCCCTGGACGGGAATCCCCTGAACTTTTCTTTTTTCTGTTCTCGTGACCTCTTCCTGACTCTCTCCACTTTCTTCCAGTTAGTCACTTTAGACTTGTCCCCTTCAGTTATGATGTTGTCTGCAGCTCTGATGGTGTTTGCGATGTGAGCCACTGCATCATTGGATACCTTGAACCTGTCAGCAGTTTCTCCGATCCTGTCCTCGGCTTCTTTCTCCCTTTTCCTTTTCTCTGATCTTGCTCTCCTGTCGACCATAGCCTTGAACTCATTGTCATTGACATCCTTATAATCACTATCTTCTTCCTGAGCACTGTCATCCACTGCCGACACTTTACACGACATCCTCTCCATCTCCTCCTTACTCTTTGACCTCATCTTCTCAGTTTTCCTCTCTTCCTCAGCCCCTTTCTTTGCCCTCTTCGCTTCCTTCTCCCTCTCTTCTTTCAGCTTGGCAGTCACAATTTTGTCAACGCCATCAATGCAGCCCTCCCTTCCCGGTTTCCTCTGGGCTGCCAGGAAGCTTTTCTCTCATTCGTGCACTTTGCTGTCGTCTGCCACATCAAACAACTTCTCAGCTATATCCTCGAACCTCATCTTCAGCTTCCCGTTCTTCGTTTTCTTCCTTTTCTGTTTCTGTCCATTTCCCTTCATCATCATCGTCTCCCTCTGCATCCTCCACAGGTCATGGACTCTCATTTTCACCCTGATTTCAGAGATAGTGGGGACAGTGGCCTTCCTATACACATCCAGTACCTTCTCAGTCACCTTGTTGGTGGCATCCATATAATCAAAAGCATTTGTTCTTCTCCTTAACCTCTCGTTTTCTGCTTCATAAGCCAGGGCACTTCCAACTTCCTTGTTCAGAGGCAACTTGTTAGATGGCAGAGGCATCCGAACCCCGAACACCTTATCGTTACCCTGGCGCAGCTGAGTGTTGCTAATCTTAGGACGACCCATCTTGGTGGCGGCCCTTTGAACTAACTGCAAAACAACACAGAAAAACAACTTTCAGCACTTCAATATCACCACCTATTGAACAATATTTTATTCAAAAGTACGGACTGAGATTTTGTCCTTAACTGTCCAAGTCAAGCTACTTGGGCTGAATTCGTTGATCAGTCCTGGGACGAATATTACCAACGGCGTGAATAGATTCCGTGGAATAAATTCAGGGCATTCCCGTCCAGGGAGCCTCAACAAACTCTGTAAATATTGCCATTGGCCTGCCATTGGCACATATACGGAGTTTGGTAATGTTCCATGAGCGGGAATGTCCTGAATTCATTCCACGGAATCTATCCACGCCGTTGGTAATATTGGGCCCTGGTTTTCGAAATATATGTATGTGGTGACTTGCAGCAAAAATATCGGCATAATTTGTAGCGCATTGAGTTGTAAAACAATAGCATATTATGAACCAGTGTACACAGTAGTCGAATAATCCAATTCAATAACTTGATTTTAACAGGTTGTGCCACATTGCCAGTCCCTTTATTATTTACAGTTTTTTCGCGTTTTTCATGCCAAACCCAAAAGTATCCACAAACCTTCTAATGCAATGATGAAAAAAACTCAAACATATTCGGAATTAGCGTGGCCGATAGACAAATAATCCAACCCAAGCAATTAGATTTTGAAAACTTTTGCAAAACTGTCACTCCCTAGTGAACAGTAGTCAGTCAGCCGTCTCACAACTCGTACAGTGGCACGCTTACAACCACAATTAACCGTTAAGACTATCTCTAGTCTTATTGTTCTTTCATTGGTGATGTTGATTGAGTGTTTTGTTCTAGGAAACAGCACACTATTTTATTCAGCTCACTCGCTATTTAGTTTTAGCTCCTCAAGGTAAGGCTGGAGCAGCAAATAGGCCGAGGGCCGCATGCAAGAGTGTATTGGGCCGCATGTTTGACACCCCTGCCCTAGGGGCTACTTGTCAAATTTGCCTGATTGGCCATTTGGAAATCCAAGATGGCTGCCAAATTGACCTTCGAAAGATGATTTTTTTTATAGAAATTAATGTAGTTGGTCAATCTAAATGATCTTAGTGTCGATATGTATGTTTTCAAGCATGCTCAGATGATTTTTTCTATTTCTGATACTCTCAGATATATATTTGTCTTATTTATGACTGGTTTTATGTACTGGTTTTATGTTTTTTCCAACTGGGTGAGGGTATCATGCAGAGGGTCTCTGCATGTGAGGGAGTGATTGTCGGGCACTACCAGGGTGTAAGGGCGGGCGCACGCTGCCACCATTGTAAGGGCGGGGGCTCCACTACTTCTACTACTGACTGAACCACCGAGACCACCCTTAAGACGGGGATGTTCTTCTCTCCCTTATACTTATCTCATACTTCTCTCTGTCTTAGTTCCTTCAATTGTTCTGTCTACCTATTTCAGTTCATGGTTACTACATAACCTCAGTTCTTTTGGTAGCATTGGTGGCAGCGTGCCCCCGCCCTTACAATGGCACACCGGTGACATCATTGCTGTGCAACCCAGCATGGGTTCAGTGTCAGCTAAGAAAAAGCATGTCATACTGCAACAGCTTAGTGTCCCAAATGCTGCTTAACCATCCCCAAATCAGTTAAGCAGCCGCACCTGAATTGACAGGATGTTCCGGCGCCGGAGAGCCGAGCCAAGGATAACGGGATTTTAGTTATCTGGATGGTGTACAGATCGCACGGGACTAATGACACTGGATGAACGATCGGACTAGGTGTAGGGCAAAAGGCACGAACCTAGTTGTATCCCATACAAGAAAGTGCTCATCAGGGTGTTAAAAGGATACTGTAAACCCTCGGCCCTGAAGATCAAAAATAGTTATGGACACAAAATCTACCAACAAATCATTCCTCACTGACTGGGCAAAGTGTTGGCTTTGTCAACAGGATAAGAAGGAAGATCTTAAGTCTCCACATGTAAATCCTGCCAAAAAAAGGAAATGACGGTTACAAGAGCTTGGCAAGGAATATTCTTCTATTTCATTCAATCAATGCACTGCCAATTAAGCTTGACCCTGCAAGACTTGTTGAAGATGATGGGATAGAGGAGACCTTGAGGAGAAACAGGGCACAGTATCATGAGAGTTGCAGACTTCTGTTCAACAACACAAAGTTAAATAGAGCTCAGAAAAGGCGAACCCTTTGCAGTTGCTACAGAGGAGAGCAGCAGCAGCAAGATACCACGAATGGTCAGAGACCCCAAAGCAACAGAATGCTTTCTATGTGAGGAAGAAGCTTCGGGAGATGACATAAGACATGCAATGACAATGAAACTTAATAAAAGATTGAATGATTGTGCGAAGACACTTAGCGATGGAAAACGCCTTGCCAAACTAAGTGCAGCAGATGTTGTGGCACAAGAACTGAAGTATCACCCTCGCTCCCTGGCAGACCTGTACAACCGAGAAAGAACACACCGAAATGCTCAAGAGCAAGAAGAAGCACAGGAGCTTCACCCGAACAAGGACGCATACCCAACTGCTTTCTATGAACTAGTCACTTACATCACTCAGATGAAAGCATCTAGTGAAGGTACTGAACCACCCATTTTCAGACTTGCTGACCTGGTCACACTCTGCAGACAGAGACTTGAGCAGGTGGGTGTTGGATCGCCCGATGTTCATGCTACTCGACTAAAGGACCAGCTGCTTTTTCACATCCCCCAGCTGCAAGCTCATCACCAAGGAAGAGATATCCTATACTGGCCTGTGAGAAGGATGTTGGCTCAATTCTGGCATAAGCAAGCAAATACGGTGACGCTATCCATCTGGCAAGGCTGCTGGGATGATACGACGGGACATGCTTCAGCACAAGTCACACTTCAGCATTGTGACAATCTCCAATCCAGAAACCAGCAGTCCTGTCAACTGGGAATGGACGCAGAAGGGAGGCATGGCAGATACGTTGGACGACTCTTTCCCCGATTGCGACATGCTGTCAGGAGCTGACCAAATGTTCCTGTAAGAATGACTGCAACCAGAGATGTAAATGCTTTCGCTCTGGACTTTCCTGCACAGCACTTTGCAGCTGCATATGTAAACAGCAGTAAATACACAGGAACCAGTGCTAATAGTGAGTACCTTTTTTTTAGTGAGTTCTTTTTTGTTATATTTTTTTACTAAAAGTGTTATTTTATGTGGGTAAAAATGTTACAATGGACTTAAAACTTTAAAAAAATCATCTGGGCATGCTTGAAAACATACATATTGACACCAAGATCACTCAGATTGAACAACTACATCAATTTCTATCAGAAAAATCAACTTTTGAAGGTCAATATGGCGGCCATCTTGAAAAATGGTCGCCCTCTTAAATTTTCAAATGGCCAATCAGGCAGACTTGACTAGTAACCA